GACTGACGGCTAAAGTTTTTTTTTTTTGGCCTCTTATTGTTGTCCTGTTTGGCTCTCTGTATAACTCTATTTCTTTTTGTTTTCTCTCTAGTACATTACAACTAGGACTCCCAAAAAACTGAACTTTTTTTTTATTTTAAAATCCTAAAAACAACATTATTGCAAAAAAATTGAATTGTTCTTTTTTAAAAAAACAAAAACTCTAAACACGATTTCATTAGATTTTTTTTGGGACTGCGAGGTGCAACTCTTGTTTGTTTCTTCTCTCTGAAGGAGATGAATACACCAATTCCCGAAGAAATAGTCATTCAAATATTCACATGGCTTCCTGTCAAATCACTAATGCGTTTCAAGTGCGTTGCTAAATTCTTTAATTCTCTTGTTTCTGAATCATATTTTACGGAAATCCATACATCTCATTCTATGATCCATCAAGGTGGAACAAAATACTTCTTGAACGGAACGGAATTTTATTGCATCGCTGATCAGCAAAAGGAATATGGAAAAAGCTCTGCTTCCAGACTCGTTCAAATTCGTAGTTCTGTTGAATTCCCCTTCTATATCCCTGTAGGTTCTAATATCAGTTGCGTTAACGGTTTATTTTGCATACAGAAACCTCCTGCAATTTTAAACCCTAGTACAGGAGAAGTAAGATATCTTCCCAAACTAAATGATGATCGGTGTCTCCTTTACTATTGGTTAGGTTTTGAGCCAGAAGAAAACAAGTACAAAGTTCTTTTGACACGAGATGGTAGCGGATTGTACATAAAACAGTGTGTTTTCACATTAGGCGTAGACAAATCATGGAGAAAGACTCAGAGTATTTCCAGATGTGTTTCGTACAAGCCCGGGGTTTGCATCAATGGAGTTATCTATAGGTTTGTTTTCCATGGAGGAACACTTGCTATAGATGCATTTGATCTTAAAACTGAAAGTTTCAAACTTATTGTATTGAAGAATTCATCTAACTGGTGGTATTACGAGTTGATAGAGGTGCGGAGTAAGCTAGCAATCATTAATTGTCCAACATGGTCATGTGAATTTTTCAACTTGCGGGTTTTACGACAAATTCAGAAAGAAGAAGAAGAAGAATGGGAGAGTCATATCATTCACTATCCTTCAATGTGGAAGCACATACCACCAAAAATCATACCCCATGTCATATTGTCATGCATGTTTTGTGATGGGCAGATTTTATTCATCCTCAACTTAGAGTCAGGTGCTTTATGGTCGTCTTATAATATCACAAGACGGAGTTGGAGAAAATTAGAAATGAAGGGGCTTTCCACGAACCACCGCATCACAGGCATTTATAGTTACAGAGAAAGACTAGTTATGTAGAAATTAAGTCTCTTCTGTTTTAGAATTTTTTGCACTTCTTATGTTATTTTTTATTGCGTCGGGATACTAAGCATCATTTCGTTTCGACATAGTACCTAAATAAAAGTATATGCCAATACAATTTTATTTGCCGAGGATGATTATTGCTATGTTTTATTAGACTCGGGGATTTTAAAGCAGAAACATATCATTCATTTTCCTTCAATGTGGAACGACGTAATATCTTAGGACCTATGTCATCTTGCAATTTTCAGTCAAATTCTCTTGATTGCACCTCATTAGTAGCGACTTACCGATTATTGCAAACATCTGAAGCATTCAGAATTTGTTGCTGCTAACTCTCGATCATTGGAAACCTCTAAAACATCTCTGTTTCCAGCAGCTTTTTGATGACCAATATAACCTGTATAAACATCTATTTAGCTGCACGATTTTGCTCGGAAGTGACAGCAGCCAATTGTCTTCTAAACCAGTAGCATTACTTTGATCGACACCTACAACCCTTTTTTTTCATTTAATATTTCCCTCCCATCACCTTGATATTTTTCAAAATCGCTAGTACCTTTCAAAGCAGATTTACTGGCATCATCAGTTCGTTTGTTATTTAAGATCAAACAGCAACTAAAGAGGTTTGTTAGTTCCACCCTACTAAAGAGATTTCAATGAAGATAGGAAGATTTGAAGTCGCTAGTACTTTTCAATGTAGATCGAAAGAATTCATCTAGTGTTATTTTTCTCTATTGGAATTTCAACTTGTTTCTCTTCACTGATAACTAGGGCACATTGTTGAACATGAGGTACAGTTGCGGTGCATATTAAACCTGAAATAGGGAGGCAAATAAGTCCATACATTATAGGGCTATATATACCAGAATATGAGAAATTATATTTTCTTGTCTAATTTTGTGGCATTTATATAGGAGAATTCAGTGTCTGGGATAGCAGTGAGTGATGAGCGGAAACTGAACTTTTCGGAGTTGAAAACGAAAAGGAACCACAGATATACAGTGTTCAAGATTGATAATTCAATGCATCAACTCGCGAAGATTTTGCCAATGAATCACCTGATTACGTAAATAACTTTTCGTACACTATTGGTGTACAGAACTTAAGCTCTAATTTGTTTATGGAGCTAACTAAAGCATGTTTACTTGTATTCATTTGAATTTTGAAACCCTCTGCTTATCAATGGACTCTGTTTTTCATTCTCTAAAAGCTAACATACTGTTTACTTGGTTATTAAACTAGATTTCTCTTTTGCCCCAATTTTCGATGAAGTCGTGATAGTCTAATTGGCATATTCGATCAGATGAAGTCTTAGTTCTATCTTTAATTACTTCTAAAATAATTTTGATGATTTGTGTATCCGTTGTTACAGATAAAAAGAAAAGCCGGTGGCACTTTGCGCACCCACTTGAAAGATAGTACAACGCGTTGACGGAAGAAGAAGAGGCGTGCAAGAGAGGAATTTTCCACCGTCCTATTGAATGCACAACTCGAATGCTTGGCATTACAAAGCATTCCTTGGCTTACCTCGGCAAAATTTGGCTCGGAATATTGAATGCATATCTGAGATCTAAGTGTTTTGTGCACAAGAGATTGTTTGGTAGAGTGTATTAGAAAAAATAATGCATGTGTTGACGTGGTGTATTATTAGTATCTTGCTTCGTATCTGCTTATTGTTAGTCATAGTGCTACACGGTCTATTGTATGTTGAGGTGTGTATTACTAAGTTTGGAAGAATGTATTAAAAATTAATGCATGCATTGGTCTTATGTGTTACTAGTACCTTGTATGGTACTCTTTTCCAACTTATGTATAACTAATGTTTGTGTATTGCTAATACCATGAATTTCTAGGTAATAGCAATACAATGGTTTTAAAACATGCATTATCTCAATTAAAGACTCAATGCCTTTTTTATATCTTTATCATTATAATAGTGAAGGATATCTTTATAAATAATTTTTTGAGAAAATGGTCGTATGCCCCTTCAACATAAATTCAGATTTGCAACTATACACTTAAACTTCACGCGAGTCCTATCACTCATCCGCCTACCCCTCCAATACTATTTAAAACTGAAATAATTATCTCCCTGAGTGCTTAGCTCGCATAGTGAGTGAATTTCACTCTCTTTGAGAGAGTGAGCACCAAAATTTATTATAAAAATTTTATTTTTAATATCTCTTTCCAATAAATATATGCATTTTTAATTATTTATTTTTCTTGTTTGTTTTCTTTCTTCTCCATCAATATAAACAAATCTCTCAACCTTTCACTACCTCTAATCCTTGTTGTCATCACCATCTTCACCGGATTCACTATTGTTAATTCCAAACAAATTGTCAAACTCATATAAAACTCTTGTAAAACCAATCAACCTAAATCAGTTGAGATAAATTTACATATATTTATATCACCCCAAGATACTTTGGATCTGATTTGAGAAAAATCGATATGGGTTTACTTTAAATACGATTGGACCAAGCGGAAAAAAATATTTTTTTACAATTAGATCCTTTAATTATCAGTATCAATCTCAATTAATCAACTATATCTAAAAAATTGTCACTATTAATCTTATTAATCCATCAATTGTCGTAGAATCAGTCTCTTCCTCTTTGAAATTCTCGTCGCCATAGATGATGATGTGGAAGACATTGTAGGCTCCTCATCATCATATTTCTTAGAGGATTGCTCATCTTCGGTGACCGTCATTAATGACAAAACTGGAATTATGCAATAATATATGGATTAAATCGCTACTTCCCCTATATAATATCACTATCTCTACCACGGACATAACAATTATAAAAAGGAAAAATTGTGCGGATAAGAAAATATATTGATTAATTAGTTAATATAGTTACAGTTTGTCTTAGTTACAATTTATGACCTACTTTTTGCTATAATTATGCGGCTCAGTTTTTAGTTTTGTATAATTCGCATGTTTGCATAATTCAGAATATGTATAATTGTTGTATAATGTAATTTTGTATAATAGAATTTATATGACTGTTTAAAGTTCAGATGTTTATGTTTGTATAAATTCGTTATTTCGAGTTTATACAAAAATAGTTGAATTATACAAACGTACCCACAAATTATGCAAACTCACCCACAAATTATATAAATCCGCAAATTGTACAAACGAGACAGCTTAAATTGTAGCTACAAGCCATAAATATACAAACTATAGCTATGGAGCATAATTAAGTTTATAACAATAGCTATTTGTAAAAGTTTTCCTAATAAAAATGAGGAAATATATATGAATTAATCTCTAAACTGTGTACATGTGTTTTTCTTATAATTTTTTTTCAATTGGATGTATGTAATCATAAATTAAAATGATGTGATTAATGAGTATTGGATATGCAGTATATCATTCTAGATGACACACTTGTTTGTAAGAAAAGTGTTGTTTTTTTCTGCTAAAATGTTTAGTTTTGTGTTTAATTCTTTTTTCATACTTCTATATATATATATATATATATATATATATATATATATATATATATATATATATATATATATGAATGGACGCAAAACTTTAAATAATTGATTCAATTTCACAATTGTTGCTTATGTTCTATGAATCCTTGCTAGAATAACTTTCATCGTATCGAAGCCACCAATCAACTTAACCTATCACCCATCTAATCGGGTTAGAGCGCAAAATAATAGAGTTCCGAGTCTAAAGGGTAAAAAATATTGATAAAAATTTTAAAAGGGTAAATGAAAAACTTTTAAACCAAAACGGTAAAATTGTTGGTGATGTAGCGATTTAGGTGGTGCCGTTAAGGTAAATTGCTGCAGTAGCAGCGATTTGTAAAAAAAAAAATTAATTTTTTTAACAAATCGTCGCTGCCAAGGTAGCGATTTGGTAAATGATTTTTTTTAAATTATAAATCGCTGCCTATGCAGCGATTTTACTTTAAAAATTTGTTTTATTATTTTTTGAAGTAAATCGCTGCCTTGACAGCGATTTACTTTATTTTTTTTATTTTTTTTAAAATTTTTGAAGTAAATCGCTGTCATGATAGCGATTTCACTTAATTTTATTTTTTAAAAAATTTTTAAAGTAAATTAACACGTCAAATTTATAAAAAAAAAAATCACATGCATATTAATATTTATGTCTGGATGAAATGTGAATTTGAAAGTTTGACAATGTGAATTTTTTTGGCTAATTATAATTTATTTACGACAAAAAATTAAAAAAGTGAAATCGCTGCCCAAGGCAGCGATTTGCTTTTAAAAAAATAAAAAATTAAGTAAAATCGCTGCTAAGGAAGCGATTTACTAAAAAAAAAATCGATGCACAGGCAGCGATTTACAATTTTTTAAAAAAAATCATTTACAAATTGTTGTTACTGCAGCAATTTTCGTTAACGTCACCTACCTAAATCGCTACATCTCTAGTTATTTTACCGTTTTGACTTTAAAAAAAATTCATATTACCGCTTTAAAATTTTTATCAATATTTCTATTAAACTTGGGACTCCAAAATAATATGTATAGCTCCACAGGGATATTTAATAACACCATACAACCCACGACTAGGCAAACAACGAGGGGCATATATAAGGGATTTATCCGCGAGGCCTAAACTCTAGAAATTTCAGTTTCTTACCATGAATAAATTGTTGAAGCTCCAATTTGTGTGCAAAATAGTTGTTAACGTTTTATGTACACTTTTTAATTCATCTTGGTTTTCTTCCTTTTTTATATCTCCGAAAGTGTATTTTATCTATTGAATTTTATTCTTCATTTCTTAATAGTTTGAATTCATTTCAAAAAAAAATTACGCTTTGTAAGAGTTTCACATTTGTTCAAAAATTAAATCTTTTAAATGTTTGTATAGATTATAAGTCGTGAATTTCGATAATAATATTTTTCTTTACTTATATTGTTGAGATGAAAGGTAAGGTAAATATCTCTTATAAAATTATTTAACTTTCTTTCTTTTTTTGTTATAAAATTCATCGTAAGTTACAATTTGTTAGTTATCATGATTTAAGTATATTATTATCTTGACTCAAAGTCATGACAATAATGCCTGGAACCAATAATGTGGCCCTTTTTTTGGTCAAAGAAGTAATTTTTTTTTTTTTGTTTTTCTCCACCTATTTTTTCCTAATTATGTGTTATATTAGCGATTTTAAAAAATCACTTATTAAACTATCATAATTAGATTAAATATGCAATATTTTTTATAAAAAAAACTAAAATATCATTTCTTCAATGTAAAACTTAATATATTTTATTTTGATTCACAACTTTTATTATCATAATCCCTAATATAGTCCGTAGTCTTATTAATGACATTATTTGGTATTTAATATTTTAATCCTATATGATAAATATATTGCAACATGTTGCAGAAATAATTACATTAACCTTTTAAATTGTTATATTCTTTTTTCATATTATGCCATGTGTATGATTTGAAGAATAAGATGAAGGCTAATGGTGATCTAACTTGTGAAAATGAATGTCAAAAAGAGCTCAAAAGATTGTATATTTATTTTATATTTTTTTTTTAATGATTAAAGTTGTAAGGATGATGTTGCATTAATTATTCATTTTGTATGTTTTCTCGGTAACTTTTCTTTATTTTATATTTTATATGAATTTCTAATTATCATAATTATATAATTTCCTTGATTTAAAATAGTAATTTATAACTTTGTTGGAAGTCTATTAATTACAAATCAAATGTTTAATAATTTAGTTATTATCTTACATTTTCTATAACTGTGTGAAATATGTACACAAATTAGAGTTATCAATATGGGCTAGCTCATACTATTCGGGCTAATCCATATAAACTTCGAGATTTTACGGGTCAGGTCGGGATAGCCCATTTTTTCTGTGAGTCGAAAAACGGCCGACCCAACCCATGAGTACATAAGCTACAGGCTTGTCGGGCCAATCCACTTTTTAAAAATTATATTTTTTTAGAATTATTAAATTAAATTATAAATTATAATTTAAAAATATTATCATAAATATCAACAAAATAATTTTACATGATATTAATGTTACTACTTTTTAATCAAATCTACTAATAATATTATCTTTATAATATTTATTAATTTTTTTCAAGTAAAAGTATAAATATCTAAATAGAAGTATTAGTCTAAGTGTTTTGAGTTTGGACTCTCTTTAATTTTAAATTTTAATATTATATTACATTTTTAATTAATTTTTATTGGTCCACAGGCCGGTCCTATCGATATTTCTCAAGCCCCACAAA